CAATATTCTATGATTTAACTCAGAATCCCACGTAACATTTTCTTACAGTCCAAGTTTCATATGGGGATAAGTTTCGGGGTTTTTGCTTAATTGACTTAATTCAATAATTTCAGCAAGTTTGAGAGTTGTTGTTTCAGTTCGGTTCGGAATAGAGGCCAAATTGTTAGTAAAAATTGGCGAAATTAATTCGAAAGCATAATTAACTTAATTAAAGAAGTAGTGTGGCGTCAACTGGAGCTATCTTATAACATCTAGACCCCGTAAGGTTGTCGTGTTGAGGATGTTCACCTACTTCAATTCTGTCCTCAATACGTTCTTTATGAAAAGATTGAAGAATCCGCTTGATTTTTTCGCTACTTTTTAAATGTACAACGTCACTTTATCTTTTGATAAAGACTAAAAATTACTACGTCTAGCAAATCTATAATCCGCACTTTTATCGGGTGAGATCAGTAGCTGCAATAATTGCGAGCTGCACTGCACAGTTTCGATTATGACATTATGGAAGTTTCTACAGATGATTGTATCTCATAGTGCAACGATTTGAAAGTGCCAACATGTAGATTTTTTAGTTCAAAACGATGGACTTTTTTAAATAGAACTTTTTTCGGTTAGCGGAAAGACAGTTTATGCCTTTTGAGCAATAAACAAGTTGGATCTGTTCTCGGTTCTTAATGAACCACCTAGCAAAACAACATGTCCTCCCTTATTACAAAACTCTAGCTTTTTCGAAAAAAAGTAAACTATCGGTGTAGGCTGGTCTACTGTTTTATTCTTTGTCACTACTTCATATTTTTTCACATATTGTATTGTTTTATTCTGCACAGTATCGTCATGCTTCATTGGAAAAATTTATGAAATTGAGCCTGCTGGGTTGCTCACACTATTGGTCATGCCAGTCTGTACATGCTCCAAGTCTTCACTTAGGATTTTCATTTGGATTTGGATCATTCATTTCTCGTCTTCTCATCGATTCTTACTTCTCTAACGTGCATTATTTTTCTACTTGTAATCCTTAAATGCCACCTGTAGCGCACAGGTTGAGCCTTCACACATAGTAGAGAGAACCAAACGTAAGGGATAACCTGAGATTATATCCGAGTAAGAATCGATACATTACGTCCAAGCAGAGTCTCAGTTACGCTGGACACAACAACGCTAATGGAAGGCTAATTTGTTATGCACAAAAAAGGATAAAGAAAGATTTTGAGTGTTCTTCTCTCTTCAGCCCAGCACACCAGCTCCTGCACCAAAAGCCAAGGAAACTCCTGCACCTCCGACCCCTGCTCCAGCTCCTGCTCCACCACCAGCGCCAGCGGCTACATCAGATGACAATTATGAGAACTTGAATGGACCAGATGATCTAGAGTCTCTCAAGACGCAGTTGGTATGGCATCATCCCGAAAGGTTCTTCTGTTTTGTAGAGAACTGAAGTGACTAATTTTAGCCTCCTGATGCTCCTATTGACGATACGAATAAAGGCGAACCACTCGTAACGAAGGATGTAAGTTGGCATGAAAATTTAAATTTAACGACATGCAAATTTGTGCAATGAACTCTTTAGCATAGTGGAAAATTTTATTTCAGGCACCAGAAGGAGATCAGAAGAAAACCGAACCAGTTCGTCAGTGATATCGTGCTAGTAATAACGTATCAAAACAAATATGATCACAAGCCGAGTCAATTTTTACACATAAAGATGAGCACGATGTTTTAAAAGGCAGGCAGAGAGTCAAAAGGTGCAAGTTTGCGATTCAAAGAAAAAAGAACACAGACATGCGTTTCTGCCATCTTTTTCGAGTGTCAGACCGAAAATGTAGCCATTTTAAATGAACCAAATGATCTAATCATTGATGCAAAATCCTAGCAGATCTGACTTGATTCAGTAGCCTGATATATGACATTCCTGCCTATCCCATCTTGGGATAACCCATTTAGACCCATGCCCATTTAACATAGTAGAAAATTAATATTATTTTATCATACAGGCACTTCTTTTGAATCCATTTGCTCTCAATTTTCAGACTTACCCAAGCTTATTCTTATAGCGAAATCCAGAAAATATGAAAAGAAGGGGGATTTTGTGTTTTTCGACGTCTGTTTAAGCTAGAGGGCTATTAAACAGTGATGGGCTCTCCTCGCTTATCGTGTCCAACTTCTTTTCTCTGCATAACATAAACTTCATTTTTCTTAACGTTTTGGATATTGTGGGTAGCGATCAATTTTAAAGTTTCTCCTTCTAGTGAGAAAACTCAATTATAAAAATAAATAAAATATTCTTTCGAACTGGATTAGTAACCTGCGAGGAAG